GCAGCACCAAATCGCCCAAATCTGCACCCGTCCCCTCCCTCCCCCACCAACTCTTTCACCCTAGGGCCACACACGCTGGCCTCGAATTAAATATGCATCACGCAACAACAATAGCGCAGCGTGCAGCAGCATCAATACTCACCACCACCGCCATCATCTCATTCATTCGTTCGGTGGGGGTGGCCGAGTGAGCGCCAACTCATTCATTCGCTCCGTGGGGGCGGCGGAGTGACCGCCAACTCATTCATTCGCTCCTTGGGGGCGGCGGAGTGACCCTCAACTCATTCATTCGCTCCGTGGGGGCGGCCGAGTGAGCGCCAACTCATTCATTCGCTCCGTGGGGGTGGCGGAGTGAGCGCCAACTCATTCATTCGCTCGGTGGGGGTGGCCGAGTGACTGTCAACTCATTCATTCGCTCCGTGGGGGCGGCCGAGTGACCGCCAACTCATTCATTCTCTCGGTGGGGGTGGTGGAGTGACCCTCAACTCATTCATTCTCTCGGTAGGGGTGGCGGAGTGACTGCCAACTCATTCATTCGCTCGGTGGGGGCGGCCGAGTGATTGCCAACTCATTCAATCGCTCGGTGGGGGCGGCCGAGTGACCGCCAACTCATTCATTCGTTCCGTGGGGGTTGGGGGGGTGCAGTGGGGGTGGGTGCCCCCATCGCTTCATCGTAATGGCCGTGTGGGAGACGCGCCGCCGAGATCATCGGTCGGAGGTTTCGAAGTCCTGGCTCTGGGTGTCTCCTTCTCCCTCCATCTCTCCCCTTTCTCTCTCCCTCTCCTCTCTCTCTCTCTCCCTCTCGCTCTCCTCTGCGGCGAGAGCAGTGTTCAGGGGCTGGAGCATGCCGCGCCTACCACTCACGCGCCCCGCATCTTCTTCGAACGCTCTGTAACGGCGTGAACGGCACCCTCCTCTTTATTGTCTGACGCATCGGGCGTGGCGACCACCACCACCACCACCACGTGACGTTTGTTTGTTTGTCTCTCAGATCCACACATCCACGTCTAGACACACTGTGAGTGTCTCTCATCCATGTCTAGACACACTGTGAGTGTCTCTCATCCACGTCTAGACACACTGTGGGTGTCTCTCACATCCACGTCTAGACACACTGTGAGTGTCTCTCTCATCCACGTCTAGACACACTGTGAGTGTCTCTCATCCACGTCTAGACACACTGTGAGTGTCTCTCTCATCCACGTCTAGACCCACTGTGAGTGTCTCACATCCAAGTCTAGACACACTGTGAGTGTCTCTCACATCCAAGTCTAGACACACTGTGAGTGTCTCTCATCCATGTCTAGACACACTGTGAGTGTCTCTCACATCCATGTCTAGACACACTGTGAGTGTCTCTCTCATCCACGTCTAGACACACTGTGAGTGTCTCTCATCCACATCTAGACACACTGTGAGTGTCTCTCTCATCCACGTCTAGACACACTGTGGGTGTCCCTCACATCCACGTCTAGACACACTGTGAGTGTCTCTCACATCCACGTCTAGACACACTGTGAGTGTCTCACACATCCATGTCTAGACACACTGTGAGTGTCTCTCATCCACGTCTAGACACACTGTGAGTGTCTCTCATCCACGTCTAGACACACTGTGAGTGTCTCTCACATCCACGTCTAGACACACTGTGAGTGTCTCTCACATCCATGTCTAGACACACTGTAAGTGTCTCTCACATCCATGTTTAGACACACTGAGTGTCTCTCACATCCATGTCTAGACACTCTGTGAGTGTCTCTCTCATCCACGTCTAGACACACTGTGAGTGTCTCTCACATCCACGTCTAGACACTCTGTGAGTGTCTCTCTCATCCACGTCTAGACACACTGTGAGTGTCTCTCACATCCACGTCTAGACACTCTGTGAGTGTCTCTCTCATCCACGTCTAGACACGCTGTGAGTGTCTCTCTCATCCACGTCTAGACACACTGTGAGTGTCTCTCACATCCATGTCTAGACACACTGTGAGTGTCTCTCACATCCACGTCTAGACACACTGTGAGTGTCTCTCTCATCCACGTCTAGACACACTGTGAGTGTCTCTCACATCCATGTCTAGACACACTGTGAGTGTCTCTCTCATCCACGTCTAGACACACTGTGAGTGTCTCTCACATCCACGTCTAGACACACTGTGAGTGTCTCTCACATCCACGTCTAGACACACTGTGAGTGTCTCTCTCATCCATGTCTAGACACACTGTGAGTGTCTCTCACATCCATGTCTAGACACACTGTGAGTGTCTCTCATCCACGTCTAGACACGCTGTGAGTGTCTCTCTCATCCACGTCTAGACACATTGTGAGTGTCTCTCACATCCACGTCTAGACACACTGTGAGTGTCTCTCTCATCCATGTCTAGACACACTGTGAGTGTCTCTCACATCGATGTCTAGACACACTGTGAGTGTCTCTCATCCACGTCTAGACACGCTGTGAGTGTCTCTCTCATCCACGTCTAGACACACTGTGAGTGTCTCTCTCATCCATGTCTAGACACACTGTGAGTGTCTCTCACATCCATGTCTAGACACACTGTGAGTGTCTCTCATCCACGTCTAGACACGCTGTGAGTGTCTCTCTCATCCACGTCTAGACACACTGTGAGTGTCTCTCATCCACGTCTAGACACACTGTGAGTGTCTCTCTCATCCACGTCTAGACACACTGTGGGTGTCTCTCTCATCCACGTCTAGACACACTGTGAGTGTCTCTCACATCCATGTCTAGACACACTGTGGGTGTCTCTCATCCACGTCTAGACACACTGTGGGTGTCTCTCATCCACGTCTAGACACACTGTGAGTGTCTCTCACATCCACGTCTAGACACACTGTGAGTGTCTCTCATCCACGTCTAGACACACTGTGAGTGTCTCTCACATCCACGTCTAGACACACTGTGAGTGTCTCTCACATCCATGTCTAGACACACTGTGAGTGTCTCTCTCATCCACGTCTAGACACACTGTGGGTGTCTCTCTCATCCACGTCTAGACACTTTGCAAGCCACTGCTGCCAGCCAGGGTGACCGGAGTGTAGCGTGACGGTGGCTTCACGGCTCCTCGATGAGAGATCGGCAAGCCACCGTGGTTCAATTCCGAGTGAGCGCGAACCCCAGACCCTCCACCCTCCACCCCCCCCACTACCCCTACGACCACCGCCAACAGAGCGACAGCGTCTCAACGCTAATGAAATGCAGAACCAATATTAATGCTCAGCAGTAGCGAATGTAAAGAGAGTGGAAAAGTGCATATTAATCTTAATTGGCAATAGACTAATGCGGATTTAAAATGTGGAAGTGTCTCCTGTTACATGCTAATGATACGCTCAGCGCAGGGATTAGCGGTGTAATACCTCGTGGCCATTCTCTATTCGCTGCTGGGTCAGGCACGCTTGAAACCAACGCTCGTGATAACCGCCAGTCGTGTAGAGGCATTAAGGTCTGGTTTTGACATGCAGCGTCTCATCAGCAAAGCCAGGCTCGCTTGAAACCAATGTTCGTGATAACCGCCAGTCGTGTAGAGGCATTAAGGTCTGGTTTTGACATGCAGTGTCTCATCATCAAAGCCAGGCTCGCTTGAAACCAATGCTCGTGATAACTGCCAGTCGTGTAGAGGCATTAAGGGCTGGTTTTGACATGCAGCGTCTCATCAGCAAAGCCAGGCTCGCTTGAAACCAATGCTCGTGATAACCGCCAGTCGTGTAGCGGCATTAAGGTCTGGTTTCGACATGCAGCGTCTCATCATCAAAGCCAGGCTCGCTTGAAACCAACGCTCGTGATAACTGCCAGTCGTGTAGCGGCATTAAGGTCTGGTTTTGACATGCAGTGTCTCATCAGCAAAAGCCAGGCTCGCTTGAAACCAATGCTCGTGATAACCGCCAGTCGTGTAGAGGCATTAAGGGCTGGTTTTGACATGCAGCGTCTCATCATCAAAACCAGGCTCGCTTGAAACCAATGCTCGTGATAACCGCCAGTCGTGTAGCGGCATTAAGGGCTGGTTTTGACATGCAGTGTCTCATCAGCAAAGTCAGGCTCGCTTGAAACCAACGCTCGTGATAACCGCCAGTCGTGTAGAGGCATTAAGGGCGAGTTTCGACATGCAGCGTCTCATCAGCAGCATCTCGGATGAGCAAATTTGGCTACGTACGCTGCGAAAGAAGTCCAACGTACATATATACACACACACACACACAAAGGTCCCCCTCATAGCCTGTTAGGGCAAGTGCTCTTGAGCGAGTAGCAGCTATGAAGACCGCCACGTACGCTCACACTCGCAGTCGCCCTGTCAGATGCCGCTGCTTCTGCGGCCGTCTGGAACGCTCTTCCCTCCGATATCAGGAAGCCACTGGGAGCTTTGATGCACTTTGACATCATCATCGTCGTCGTCGTCGTCTAGATTGACAAACGAATTTCTTTGCAACTGCTGCTCGTAGTGTTTAGTTTGTTGTCCTAACCCTCCCACGGTACCTCTGATTAGTGCGGTTGGCTACGTACATGCGAAAAACACGTACTACGTACACGCAACATACATACAACATATGTATAACATACGTATAACATACGTATAACACACGTACACACTGGTTCAGCACAGCTTGAATCCTCCAGCCATCTCCAACCCAAAACTCCAATCGGCAACCACCACCAACGCCACCATCGCTGTCACCACCACCACCGCCACTATCGCCACCACCATCACGACCACCACCGCCATCACCACCGCCACCATCAGCACCACCATCACCGCCACCATCAGCACCACCATCACCGCCACCATCACCGCCACCACCACCGCCACCATCAGCACCACCATCATCGCCATCAACACCGCCACCACCACCGCCACCACCACCGCCACCACCACCACCACCACCGCCACCATCACCACCACCACCGCCACCACCGCCACCATCACCACCACCACCGCCACCACCGCCACATACCCGGGAGGCGTTGGGAATCATCGGGAATTACCGGGAGGATTCCCCGGCAATGCCTTCACGGGACCGGCCAGCGGAATGGGAGCGGCGGCGTCGTCCCCGCTGCCCTTCCCACGTAATCCCAACGCGCGGATTTTTATTTCCCCACGTTGAAAAAAAAAGAATCTCATTAATTTTTCTTCTTGCTAGAATTCTCTAATGGCTTTTCTCTCTCTCTCTCCCTCCCTCACTCTCTCGCGCGAGCCAGCGAGCGCGTTAACGGCATAGCAGGGGCCAAAGTTGTATTATTATTAAATAAAGCTACAATATGAGACGGATAATGCCACAAAATCCGACTTCAATTAACGGTACATTGACGCACTACACTCCATGTGAGAAAAAAAGAAAGAAGTATTTATTCGACAGGCCAAATTAAAAATTACGCTTGGGCTGTGTGCGCACGTGTGCGTGTGTGCGTGCGTGCGTGTGTGTGCGTGCGTGTGCGTGCGTGTGTGAGTGCATGTGTGTGTGAGCGTGTGTGAGCGCGTGTGCGTGTGAGTGTGCGTGCATAGTGGGGAACAATAGTGTAGCGCGTTGTCTTTGAGCTGTGTGACGCCTTCTGGCGTCATCTGGTCGCGCACCAATTGGGTCGAGGCTCAAAAGAAAGCCGTCCCTTGGTGTGGGCCAATCAGCTTCAAGGACAATGCCAATATATTACCACAGTGTGTCTTTTGTTTGCATTTTGACTGCAGGTATTGTGGTTAATGCAGTAAACATGAATCCTCGTAAAAAAAAGGTTTCAGTTTTGTTGTCAGAAAAAAGGGGGAAAACCCCTATTGTTAGATAGTGTAGCGGTTAGCGCTACGCTGCGCTATGAACCCCGGCTACCAGGGTTCGAATCCCGCTCACGGCCAACACCGGTGACGATTATCTGAATCGGTCCTGTGCCCACCACCCCCCCCCCTAGGTCGACTCAGCCTCAAATTAGTACCTGGTGCGGTGATGTGTAGTAAACATCGCCACTGGGGAGACAAAGGCGGCCAGGCGTGGTGCTGGCCACTCACCCCCTCGTGTGCCGCAGTGCCGGTAGCCTTCATAGGTGCTGCTGCTACTCGCTACTAACTGCACTTGCCCCAACTGTCTGGTAAAAGCTATAGGGGGATTTTTGTCTACAGCTCTCTGTGTGAGTCTATGGGGCTCTGTGTGAGTCTCTGCGTGAGTCTACGGGACTCTCCGTGTGAGTCTGTGGGTGTCTGCGTGAGTCTACGGGTCTCTGCGTGTGAGTCTGTGGGTGTCTGCGTGAGTCTACGGGACTCTCCGTGTGAGTCTGTGGGTGTCTGCGTGAGTCTACGGGTCTCTAACGTGTGAGTCTGTGGGTGTCTGCGTGAGTCTACGTCTCTGCGTGTGAGTCTGTGGGTGTCTGCGTGAGTCTACGGGTCTCTGCGTGTGAGTCTGTGGGTGTCTGCGTGAGTCTACGGGTCTCTGCGTGTGAGTCTGTGGGTGTCTGCGTGAGTCTACGGGTCTCTGCGTGTGAGTCTGTGGGTGTCTGCGTGAGTCTACGGGTCTCTAACGTGTGAGTCTGTGGGTGTCTGCGTGAGTCTACGGGTCTCTGCGTGTGAGTCTGTGGGTGTCTGCGTGAGTCTACGGGTCTCTAACGTGTGAGTCTGTGGGTGTCTGCGTGAGTCTACGGGTCTCTGCGTGTGAGTCTGTGGGTGTCTGCGTGAGTCTACGGGTCTCTGCGTGTGAGTCTGTGGGTGTCTGCGTGAGTCTGTGGGTGTCTGCGTGAGTCTACGGGTCTCTGCGTGTGAGTCTGTGGGTGTCTGCGTGAGTCTGTGGGTGTCTGCCTGAGTCTACGGGTCTCTGCGTGCGAGTCTACATCTCACCGCGTGAGTCTGCGGGTCTCCGTGTGAGCTGCCCGAACTGGAACCCAGAACACTGGACAGGGAGTCAACTCGGCTCTACGACCTCTGGGGTGACCTCTCTCACAGAAACCCGTGTCTCTGCGCGGGACTGTCTGCCCCCATTCCCCATTCACCACATCTCATTCTAATGAAGTTTACCCTCTGACCCAGCGTACTACATTAGAACGAATATATATTTACATTTCTCTCATCTGCGCCGCTTAATGAGCCAGGGAAAATTAAAGAAAAACGATCAAAATCATTAGACCTCCTTTGCCAGTACCAAAATATTTCGGTACTGGCAAAGGAGGTCAATGATGTAGATGCTTACCCGGAGCCCTTATTACTTTGATAGTGGCGTTGTCTTTGGCGTCCTCTGGTCTCTAGCACCAATTGAGACGAGGCTCAAAAGAAAGCCGTCTCTGGTGTGGACCAATCAGTTTCAAGGACAATGCATCATCATCATCATCATATTATCAGTTTTATTGCCAGAAAAAAGGGTGAAAGACTCCTATTATCTAAAAACGATCGACTTACCAACGCCCTCGGGGTTCATCCAAGATGCCCAAAAGGTGGACCCTCAAGGCAGCCCTGCGCAATTTTTCCGCAGTTCCGTTTCAGAACGTCACGTGGCTCACATTTTTCCCCCCGGAATTTCCGACGGGAAAAAAATGGCTTCAACCCCGTGGCTGCCAACCCTGGCCTCGTAGCCTCCCTGAACTACCCAACTATTATTTCGTTCACTTGTTTTTGTTGTTCATATTTCACCAGGCAAAGGAAGCCCGCTGAGCTGCTTGTGTAGCCCTTGTTTCAGAAGCGGTACCCTGAGCATCACAAAAATGATTGCAGCTCAGACGAAGTGACGGCTTATTGTCATCATCATCATCATCGTCGTCGTCGTCGCGTGGACATTCATAGCAGCAGGCAGCCACATACTCTAAACGCGTGATTCTAAAGACTCATAGAGACCCACAGAGACCCACAGAGACCCACGTAGACCAATAGAGGCCCCTACTCAGAGACCCATGGAGTTCCAGAGACCCATAGAGAACCATAGAGACCCATAGAGAACCATAGAGACCCACAGAGACCCACAGAGACCCATACTCGTGGAGAGCCACATAGTTCCAGAGACCCATAGAGAACCATAGAGACCCACAGAGACCCACAGAGACCCACAGAGACCCACGTAGACCAATAGAGGCCCCTACTCAGAGACCCATGGAGTTCCAGAGACCCATAGAGCACCATAGAGACCCATAGAGAACCATAGAGACCCACAGAGACCCACAGAGACCCATACTCGTGGCGAGCCACATAGTTCCAGAGACCCATAGAGAACCATAGAGACCCACAGAGACCCATAGAGACCCACAGAGACCCACAGAGACCCACGTAGACCAATAGAGGCCCCTACTCAGAGACCCACAGAGATCCATAGAGAACCATAGAGACCCACAGAGACCCATAGAGAACCATAGAGACCCACAGAGACCCACGCAAATCTACCGAGACCCATAGGGACCCATGCTCATCGGGACCCACACTAAAACTAAACACATCTATCTATTAATTTGTTAATTTATTTACTTATTTGCTTATGTCAACAGGTAAGGCCCCACTCAGCTGCTCTGTTGCAGCCCTCATGTCAGAAGCGAACCCGGCCATCGCGAATGACAGCGGCTCAACGGAGTGGCCACTTTCATCGTCGTCATCGTCATCACCACGTGCGCATTCATAGCAGCAGCCGCAGCAGCCGCAGCAGCCCTGAAACTCTGAACGCACGGTGTCGATTCGAAATGTGGAGGGGGAAAAAAACTGGAGGAGCCTGGAGAAAAAAATCCACGGGATCGAACCCACGACCTCCTGCGTACCAGGCGAGGTAGTCAACATCTCCTCGCCACCGTGATGATGCTGATGATGAGAGAGAGAGACACGCAGACTCCAAATATACAGCAGCAGCAGCAGCAGGCATCGTCAGGGTCGGGATCGAACCCACGACCTCCTGCGTACCAGGCGATGTAGTTAACATCTCCTCGCCACCGTGATGATGATGAGAGAGACACGCAGACTCCAAATATACTGCAGCAGCAGCAGACATCGTCAGGGTCGGGATCAAACCCACGACCTCCTGCGTACCAGGCGAGGTAGTTAACATCTCCTAGCCACCGTGATGATGATGGTGATGAGAGAGACACGCAGACTCCAAATATACTGCAGCAGCAGCAGACATCGTCAGGGTCGGGATCGAACCCACGACCTCCTGCGTACCAGGCGAGGTAGTTAACATCTCCTCGCCACCGTGATGATGATGAGAGAGACACGCAGACTCCAAATATACTGCAGCAGCAGCAGACATCGTCAGGGTCGGGATCAAACTCACGACCTCCTGTGTACCAGGCGAGGTAGTTAACATCTCCTAGCCACCGTGATGATGATGGTGATGAGAGAGACACGCAGACTCCAAATATACTGCAGCAGCAGCAGACATCGTCAGGGTCGGGATCAAACCCACGACCTCCTGTGTACCAGGCGAGGTAGTTAACATCTCCTAGCCACCGTGATGATGATGGTGATGAGAGAGACACGCAGACTCCAAATATACTGCAGCAGCAGCAGACATCGTCAGGGTCGGGATCAAACCCACGACCTCCTGTGTACCAGGCGAGGTAGTTGACATCTCCTCGCCACCGTGATGATACTGATGATGATGAGAGACACGCAGACTCCAAATATACAGCAGCAGCAGCAGGCGTCGTCAGGGTCGGGATCAAACCCACGACCATTGCGTACCAGGCGAGGTAGTTAACATCTCCTAGCCACCGTGATGATGATGGTGATGAGAGAGACACGCAGACTCCAAATATACTGCAGCAGCAGCAGACATCGTCAGGGTCGGGATCAAACTCACGACCTCCTGTGTACCAGGCGAGGTAGTTAACATCTCCTTGCCACCGTGATGATGCTGATGATGATGAGAGACACGCAGACTCCAAATATACAGCAGCAGCAGCAGGCATCGTCAGGGTCGGGATCGAACCCACGACCTCCTGTGTACTAGGCGAGGTAGTTAACATATCCTAGCTACCGTGATTATGATGGTGATGAGAGAGACACGCAGACTCCAAATATACTGCAGCAGCAGCAGGCATCGTCAGGGTCGGGATCAAACCCACGACCTCCTGCGTACCAGGCGAGGTAGTCAACATCTCCTAGCCACCGTGATGATGATGATGAGAGCAAGACACGCAGACTGCAAATATACAGCAGCAGCAGGCATCGTCAGGGTCGGGATCAAACCCACGACCTCCTGCGTACCAGGCGAGGTAGTCAACATCTCCTAGCCACCGTGATGATGATGATGAGAGCAAGACACGCAGACTGCAAATATACAGCAGCAGCAGCAGACGTCGTCAGGGTCGGGATCAAACCCACGACCTCCTGCGTACCTGGCGAGGTAGTCAACATCTCCCGTGCCACCGCGGCACTGCCTACAAATGCTCCGGATGAGTTCCCGTGAGCAGAGAGACCCACACAGACTCACCGAAAGACCCAGAGACTCACTGTAGGGGCAAGTGCTGTTAGTGGCGAGTAGCAGCAACTATGAAGGTAGACACAGACAAAGATCCCCCGTGTAGCCTCTACAGACTGCTGGGGCAAGTGCTGTTGTAGCGAGTAGCAGCTACCTATGAAGGTAGACACAGACAAAGTTTTCCCCGTGTAGCCTCTGTTGGGGCAAGTGATGTCAGTAGTGAGTAGCAGCAGCATCTATGAAGGCTACCGGCACTGTGGCACACGAGGGGGTGGGTGGCCAGCACCACGCCCGGCCGCCTTTGTCTCCCCAGCGTCGATGTTTGATACAAACCAGCGCACCAGGTAGCTCATTTGAGGCTGAGTCGACCTACACGCGCACGTCATGCACGCGTACGTCATGCACGCGTACGTCATGCACGCGTACGTCATGCACGCGTACGTCATGCACGCGAACGTAATGCACGCGTACGTCATGCACGCGTACGTCATGCACGCGTACGTCATGCACGCGAACGTCATGCACACGTACGTCATGCACGCGTACGTCATGCACGTGAACGTCATGCACGCGTACGTCATGCACGCGTACGTCATGCACGCGAACGTCATGCACGCGTACGTCATGCACGCGTACGTCATGCACGTGAACGTCATGCACGCATACGTCATGCACGCGTACGTCATGCACGCGTACGTCATCGTCGTCATCGTCGTCATCATCGTCTCAACACTCTCGCGACCGCAGCTTTGCCGAGGCCTCCACCCAGCAGTTGATCGACCGTGGCTGCTGCTGCCGCCGCTGCTGCTGCTGATGATCGCGATGACGACAATGACGATGCTGATGATGATGATGATCACCATGACGACTATGACCACGATGACGATGATCGCGGCGGCGACGCCGACAGAGCGTCGCGAGGGGTCGCGGCCGTCGTACGCGCGGACGTGACGGAACGACTGCCATCGGGGGTGACAGCGCGCAAAAACCGCCGGGTGACACACACACACACACACAGAGAGAGAAGAGAGAGTGAAGAGAGAGTGAAGAGAGAGAGACAGCTTCAAGGAGCAGTGGGCGCTGGAGGAGGGCTATGTGCTCGGTGGCAGATGACGGTAGAGAGCTCTGCGCGTGCAGATTGTGAGCTACCCCGTCGGAGGCCGTGGGGCTGCGAGAAAGGGGCTGGGTGCAGATGCAGCACTTGTCGTAGTAAAAAAAAAATTACACCTTTACAAATTTTGTACGTAGAAAAACAGGGGGAGCATAGACATAGAGTAGGGAGAGAGGGGGTAGAGAGAGAGAGAGAGAGGAGGGGAGGGGGGTAGAGAGAGAGAGAGAGGGAAGGGGTAAGAAGGAGGAGCAGAGCTTAAAATCTTTCGTGAAATATTTAATTTAAAAAGGTGGGGGGGTGGTTTACATAAAGCAAAGCATTGAACAGAAAAAAAAACCGAAATGATGAACGAAGCAAAGTTCTGACTACACCGAGCGTCTTCTCGTTCCCCTCTGATCGTACAAAAAAAATACAAAAAATAAAAAGGAAAAAAAAGAGAATGGAGAGAGAGAGGAGAGAGGGGAGAGAGACGGGGGAGAGACGGGGGAGAGAGGGGAGAGAGAGAGGGGAGAGAGACGGGAGAGAGACGGGGGAGAGACGGGGGAGAGAGGGGAGAGAGACGGGGGAGAGAGAGGGGAGAGAGACGGGAGAGAGACGGGAGAGAGAGAGGGGAGAGAGACGGGAGAGAGACGGGGGAGAGAGGGGAGAGAGACGGGGGAGAGAGAGGGGAGAGAGAGGGGAGAGAGAGAGGGGAGAGAGAGGGGAGAGAGAGAGGGGAGAGAGACGGGAGAGAATGAAAACAGAGAGAGAGAGAGGGGAGGAGGGGGTGTGCAGGCTTACACTTCATTAGTCTCGGTCTGGAGGTTAAGAGAAGCCAGGCCCGGCTGACATTCCGATGCGTGTGAACCTCGTGGCACGCCGGGTTTAGGGTGCCAGGGCATGCCCTGGGGGTGCCTGCCTGTGCGTGAGTGTAGGGTGGTGTGTGTGTGTGTAGGGTGGTGTGTGTGTGTGTAGGGTGGTGTGTGTGTAGGGTGGTGTGTGTGTGTGTAGGGTGGTGTGTGTTGGGTAATGTGTGTAGGCTGATGTGTGTGTGTAGGGTGGTGTGTGTGTGTGTAGGGTGGTGTGTGTGTGTGTAGGGTGGTGTGTGTGTGTGTAGGGTGGTGTGTGTGTAGGGTGGTGTGTGTGTGTAGGGTGGTGTGTGTGTAGGGTGGTGTGTGTGTGTGTAGGGTGGTGTGTGTGTGTGTAGGGTGGTGTGTGTGTAGGGTGGTGTGTGTGTGTGTAGGGTGGTGTGTGTGTGTGTAGGGTGGTGTGTGTGTGTGTAGGGTGGTGTGTGTGTGTGTAGGGTGGTGTGTGTGTGTAGGGTGATGTGTGTGTTGGGTGGTGTGTGTGTGTGTCGGGTGATGTGTGTGTGTGTAGGGTGATGTGTGTGTGTGTAGGGTAATATGTGTGTGTGTGTGTGTGAGGGTGATGTGTGTGTGTGTGTAGGGTGATGTGTGTGTGTGTACACGCACAAACACACACACACACCACCCGGGGTCGCCGGGTTCGTAGGGCGCACACACACACACGCACACACACACGCAGGCACGCACCGGGGCAACCGGCGCCCTCACCTGCGATGCACGGGATGAGTTCCCGGGGCTCGCCGCCGGCATCGTCGTCCGGCGACAGTGCCAGGCGCTTGAAGGCCGAGACAGCGGCACAGACGGCGGCGCTCACGCCGCTAACCTCCTCCGAGAGGAGCGCCAGCGACGGCTCAAACTCCACCTGCGGTGGGTGCGGACACGCGGAGGGGCGAGAGGAGGTGGTGTGAGGAGGAGGAGGAGGTGGTGTGAGGAGGAGAGAGGGGGAAGGAGGAGGAAGGGAGGAGGGAGGGTGAGTGTGATGATGATGATGATGGTGGTGGATGATGGTGGATGATGAGGAGGAGGAACATCGACACGACACGAATTCTCTCCCCGCTGAAGCCCCCTCGTCGTGGACAGAAGACCTCCACATCAGCACAGAGCTCCTGAACCACACAGCTACTGAACCAAGGAGCTCGTGAACCACAAGCTCCTGAACCACACAGCTACTGAACCACACAGCTCCTGAACCACAGAGCTACTGAAAGACAGAGGTCCTGAACCACACAGCTACTGAACCACACAGCTACTGAACCAAGGAGCTCGTGAACCACAAGCTCCTGAACCACACAGCTACTGAACCACACAGCTACTGAACCACAGAGCTACTGAAAGACAGAGGTCCTGAACCACACAGCTACTGAACCACAGAGCTACTGAAAGACAGAGCTCCTGAACCACACAGCTACTGAACCAAACAGCTACTGAACCACAGAGCTACTGAACCACACAGCTACTGAACCACAGAGCTACTGAACCACACACCTCCTGAACAACACAGCTACTGAACCCCACAGCTCCTGAACCACAGAGCTCCTGAACCACAGAGCTACTGAACCACAGAGCTCCTGAACCACACAGCTCCTGAACCACACAGCTACTGAACCAAACAGCTACTGAACCACAGAGCTACTGAACCACACAGCTACTGAACCACAGAGCTACTGAACCACACAGCTACTGAACCACACAGCTACTGAACCACACAGCTACTGAACCACACAGCTACTTAACCACACAGCTACTAAACCACACAGCTCCTGAACCACACAGCTACTGAACCACACAGCTCCTGACCCACACACCTCCTGAACAACACAGCTACTGAACCCCACAGCTCCTGAACCACAGAGCTACTGAACCACAGAGCTCCTGGTCCACACACCTCCTGGTCCACACAGCTCCTGACCCACAGAGTTCCTGACCCACAGAGCTACTGAACCACAGAGCTCCTGAACACACGGAGCGACTGAACAGCAGACAGACAGGCAGACACCCCCACAGACAGACAGGCAGCCACCCACACAGTCAGACAGACGGACACCCCCAGCAGACAGACAGGCAGACGGGTTAATGAGACGTTGACACGCGCCGTGTGGGTAGGCACGGCGCGATGCGGGCTGGGAGAGTGAGAGGGGCGAGGAGGGAGGCATCACTCAGCGTGGGCTTGCAGCGGACGGATTAGTCACCAAAATGACAGATACAGAAACACACACAGATACACACACACAGATACTCAGATACATAGACACAGACACTAACACACACACACGCAGATACACACACACAGACACACACAGATCATCAGATACATAGACACAGACACTCACACACACATACAAATACTCATACACACACAGACATACACACACAGGTACTCAGACATATAGACACAGACACTAACACACACACGCAGAAACACACAGACACACACACACAGATCATCAGAAACATAGACACAGACACACACACATACAAATACTCACACACACACAGACATACTCACACACACAGATACTCAGACACATAGACACAGACACTAACACACACACACGCAGATACACACACAGACACACACACAGATACTGAGATACATAGACACAGACACTCACACACACAGATACTCACACACACGCAGATACATAGACGCAGATATATACACTCACTCACAGAAAAGACAAAGTTCGCCCGTATAGCCTTAACAGACTGTCGGGGCAAGTGCTGTTAGCGAGCACCTATGAAGGCCGGCACGGCACACGAGGCCGCCTTTGTCTCCCCAGTGGCGATGTTCACTACACACCGCTACACCAGCTACTCATTTGAGGCTGAGTCGACCTAGGGAAGGCCCAGGACCGGTTCAGATAATCGTCACCGGCGTTGGCTGTGAGCGGGAATCGAACTCGGGTCGCCGAGTTCGTAGCGCTAACCCGCTACTACACCACCGCTCCCCACTCACAGATATAGACGCGTATACATGCACACAGATACAAAGACAAAGATCGCCCGTATAGCCTCCAACAGGCTGTAGGGGAAAGTGCTGTTTATCGAGCGGCACCTATGAAGGCCGGCACGGCACACGAGGCTGTTGGGCGGCCAGCGAACCACTTCCCGGCCGCCTTTGTCTCCCCGAGTGGCGACGCTCAATGCACACACCGCACCGGGCGCTCGTCTGGGGCCGGGTCGACCTAGCGGACGCCCAGGGGACCGCTTCGGACACTCGGTGGTGGGCGTGGACGGGAATCGAACCCGGGGGTCGCGGCAGGGCGGGGGGGGCGTCGCCGTGAGCCCTGCGCCACCGCTCCCCCAGGGCGCTCGCTTCGAGGCTGAACGCGGACTCACGCGTAGGTCGATGTCACGGGAGGCTACGGCCACGGCGACGCGTGTCACCTGAGGTGCGCCACGGTGGGCTAGGGAGATGTTGACTACCTCGCCTGGTGCGCAGGAGGTCGCGGGTTCGATCCCGACCCTGACGACGCCTGCTGCTGCTGCTGTATATTTAGAGTCTGGGTATCTCTCTCTCACATCATCATCATCACCACGGTGGGCTAGGGAGATGTTGACTACCTCGCCTGGTGCGCAGGAGGTCGCGGGTTCGATCCCGACCCTGATGACGCCTGCTGCTGCTGCCGTATATTTGGAGTCTGCGTGTCTGTCTCTCACATCATCATCATCACCACGGTGGGCTAGGGAGATGTTGACTACCTCGCCTGGTGCGCAGGAGGTCGTGGGTTCGATCCCGACCCTGAAGACGCCTGCTGCTGCTGCTGTATATTTTGAGTCTGCGTGTCTCTCTCTCTCTCATCATCATCATCATCACGGTGGCTAGGAGATGTTGACTACCTCGCCTGGTGCGCAGGAGGTCGCGGGTTCGATCCCGACCCTGAAGACGCCTGCTGCTGCTGTATATTTGGAGTCTGCGTGTCTCTCTCATCATCATCATCACCACGGTGGGCTAGGGAGATGTTGACTACCTCGCCTGGCGCGCAGGAGGTCGCGGGTTCGATCCCGACCCTGACGACGCCTGCTGCTGCTGCTGTATATTTGGAGTCTGGGTGTCTCTCTCTCACATCATCATCATCACCACGGTGGGCTAGGGAGATGTTGACTACCTCGCCTGGTATACAGGAGGTCGCGGGTTCGATCCCGACCCTGAAGACGCCTGCTGCTGCTGCTGTATATTTTGAGTCTGGGTGTCTCTCTCTTACATCATCATCATCACCAGGGTGGCTAGGAGATGTTGACTACCTCGCCTGGTACGCAGGAGGTCGTGGGTTCGATCCCGACCCTGATGACGCCTGCTGCTGCTGTATATTTGGAGTCTGCGTGTCTCTTTCATCATCATCACCACGGTGGCTAGGAGATGTTGACTACCTCGCGTGGTACGCAGGAGGTCGTGGGTTCGATCCCGACCCTGACGACGCCTGCTGCTGCTGTATATTTCGAGTCTGCGGTGTCTCTCTCTCCCTGTGATCGCGTGGATTTTTCTCTGGGGTCCTCCGGGGATTTTCCCTCCACGTTTAGAATCAACGTCACGCGTTTAGAAGTATTTGGCTCCCGTGAAAAATATCCACGTTATGATGATGATGATAAGTCGCTTCGTTGAGCTCTGTGGGTCTCTATGGTTTCATATGGGTCTCTTGCTCTCTATGAGTCTGCCAACCATTTCCAAGTGATGATGATGATGATGAAAAGCCGCCGCTTCGTGTGAGCTGCTATCATTTGTGATGGCCATGTCGCTTCTGCAAAGGCAGCAATATCTCAGCCCAGGTAATGGTCCCGTACCTGCAAAAAATAAAACCTTCAGTTTTTGCATGAGTCTCGATGAGTATAGGTCTCTATGATTCTTCACTGGTCTCTGCGGCTCTATGTGAGTCTATGCATCTCTGTGGGTCTCTATGATTCTACATGGGTCTCTGTGGGTCTCTGTGGATCTATGTGGGTCTCCACGAGTCTGTAACGCGATCCACACGACAACAACAACGGCGACAACAACAATTGACCGCGGTTTTCCGGGCGGCGTTTCTCGAACTTTCCGAGGTCCGGGCACTCGGGGCGACAGGGACATTTCACGTGGACCACCCCCAAGCAACCCACCCACCCACCACTCCCACCCACCCAACCACTACCCCAACCGAACCCAACCCCCACCCACCCACCTGCCCACCAACCCAACCCCACCCATCCCCACCCAACCACCCATCACCCACACCAACCCACCTGCCCATCCACCCACCAACCCACCCACCCACCTGCCCACCAACCCAACTCCACCCACCTGCCCACCAACTCCACCCACCTGCCCACCAACCCAACCATCACCCCCACCAACCCAACCACCACCCACAAAAAACCCATTCGCGTATCTCGCTCGCTCGCTCTGTCTCCAAACACCTCGAATACGCACCACCAATTAGTACGGTTCGGAGGAGAGAGGTGGGGGAGGAGAGGAGGAGAAGGTGGAGAAGGGAGGGAGGGAGGAGGGAGGGAGGAGGAAGAGAGAGGAGGAGGGGGGAGGACAGAGTAGGAGGAGGAGGGAGGAGGAGAGAGGGAGGAGGAGGAAGAAGAGAGAGGAGGGGAAAGGAAAGAGGAGGAGCGGGGAGGGAGGAGGAGGAGGGGAAATGAAAGAGGAGGAGGAGAGGGGAGGGAGGAGGAAAAGCTCGCGAAGCTGCCTAGGGCGAGACTCTGCTGCATTCTGGAAGACCCGTGCGTGCGCGTGTGTGTACCGGTGCGTGCGTGTGCGTGACCATGCGTGCGAGTGCGTGCGAGTGCGTGCACGTGTGCGTGCGTGTGCGTGACCATGCGTGTGTGCGTGTGCCTGACCGTGCGTGCGTGCGTGCACGTGCGTGTGCCAGTGCGTGCCAC